CTCAGGCACTGGAAGCTTATCTAAGAAAAGAAAGGATTACCTATGAAATTTACCAAGAAGAAAGAAAAATAATAAATATTGGAAAAAGAAAGCATCATGATGATGCATTATTACCTAATAAAAAGCAAAAATCCTTAGAAGGGAAATAATATGAGATGAAATTTATGATTAATTATTAATATATACTATAAAGAAAATTCAGCTTTCATGCAAATGTAATTAATTAATGATCATCTTCACATTACATTGCTTATCAATAAAAAACATTGCTTTTGAATGAATTCTACATTCAAGGATACGTTTTATAAATCTTTGTTTTTCTCTGATTGATGTTGGAACAAGGTAAATAATCCCGCCTTATGTTGGGATATTTATAAAACATCACCAATTTACTTATTTAATCAAGTTTATATAAAACAAATCAAAAAATTTATTTATTAAATTTGAGATGTTTTGCTTATTTATTTGATTTAATAATAATAATATACTTATACAGCAAATTAGTTGATATGATTAAAAATTTAAAAAATCAGATAAGTTGATTTCGAATCAAATTACATTCATTTTGTATATTTCTTGTTTGGAAGCAATTTTGCACGAATATGTGGTAAAACTCCACCTTCAGGAATTATTACATCTTTTAATAATATATCAAATTCTTTATCATGTTTTATTGCCAGTTGTAAATGTTGTGGAATAATGTATTTTTTCTTGTTGTGATGAGCCACATAGCCTGCTAATTCAAGTAATTCTGCAGTCATATACTCCATAACAGCTGCCAAAAAAATTAGTGCTTTCATATCAATACGTTTAGCACAATATCTTTTTTTAAGATTCTTTTTTACACATCCAATTGGGAATATTAAACCTTAAGATTTTGATTTGGTTAGTATATATTTAATATATACACATATATATATATATGATGAATATATAACGATAATATATACCTGCTCTATGAGTTTGTGAGACTCTATTAGTAGTTGCTGTATTGGTATTAACAGTTTCAGTGGTATTAGCAGTTTCAAGGGTATTAGAAGCTTCAATTTGTTCTACAAGATCCAGATTATATCAAATTTATATATATGTGCTTTATAATTGATAAACTGGAAATAAAATAATAATTACCTTCATTATAATTTTCATTATCATAGCCATCATTTTCATTATAATCTAATTGCTATATAATTACAATTTCTGTCAATGTGATGTAAAATTAAATATTTAAAAATATGAAATGAACAAATCACTAATTCACTTACTTCTTCATAATCTAATTCATTTATGAATTCTATTAGATTTGTTTTCAATATATTACCCTTTTCACTGCTTAGTTTGTTTTCAATGTTATTGATACTGCGAGCGTGTAAATATGCTTACAGCTCGGGTTGTGTCCAATAAATATATAAGATAAAATAAATAAAAAATGTCCAATATATATAACTCCCTGATTACGGCTCACAGCTCAGGGCCTCCCTATTGCGCAATTCTCTCTACAGTACTAATAGAAGTACTGCTGGCCTA